CACCCACACCCACACCCACACCCACACCCACACCCACACCCACACCCACACCCACACCCACACCCACACCCACACCCACACCCACACCCACACCCACACCCACACCCACACCCACACCCACACCCACACCCACACCCACAGCCTACTTGCCGAACTACGCAGATTATGTAAGCTTACCTGTGATCATCGGATCATTCAGATCGCTTACGCACTCCAAAGCCATCTGATGAGCACTCTAGTAGGGACGAAATCACAATAATGGCAAGCTTCCACTAAACCAAAATACATGACTTTGCCTGCTTAGAATTTATTTCTTGTAGTTCGAAAGTTCATCTTTTGAACTTTTGCCAATAGAATTAGACTTATATGCGCGGATTATTGAAGCTACTTGATGATAAAGATCCTTGAGAAAGGTCGAAACGATAGTAGTAGCATTCTTTATCTATAACACATCCATCCTCACCCACCCTCAAGATTATCATTGTGGTAGCCGCATGAAATCTGTGTCGAAAAAGAAGAAATGACTGAAAGGTTTATGGGACTGAAAATATATCCAACATGGCAAAGCAACTTAATAAAGGACACAAAAAGGATGAATCGTAGAAGTATAATGTTTTCATAGTTTTTGGATTATTGAGAGATATGCAATTGAACGTCCACCCATGAGAGCAGGAATATTATCAATGATTTCATCGGTAATGGTTTGAATCTGCCATCCATTATCGACAGAGAACCATTGTTGAAGTTCCGCTTTCGTGATTTTTCGTGGACCACGTGGTCGATCCAATGTTTCCTTTTCACTCCATGCTAGTTGCACATGGATACCTTGTGGCTTCAACCATCGGCGAAGTTGACGTATGTAGATTTGTCTATTTTCATCGGACAGTCCATGGAAGAGACATGAATCAAGTACAAAATCGAATTGTCCCAGATCATCTTGTTCATCTTCTTTGAGTGCATCTAAAACCATGTAGGTCAAATTAGGAAAATCACTTTGATTTGTTCGTTCCTTGGCCATTTCAATTGCCTTAGGCACCTAGATGTAAAAGCATGTTCGCATAATATGTAACAACAAATTTAATTTTTTACGAAATCAGTAGCTACAACGTGAATAGGACTTTTCGGTTGTGATTGTTGAGCAATACACCGAGCATTATCACCAAAACCACAGCCAACATCAAGAACACGACCCCAAAAGAAACCACTTTGAACAAGACGTTCCACAGCGGACTGTGGTCGACCGATGTCCCAGTTTATAGGAGCTCCAGAACTGTATCTATCGAAGTATTCTTGTTGAAGCGGTGCTTCACTGTGTGCCCTTTGCATGTTTCAAATAGATAAGAACTAAAATTTAAACGATAAAGCAAGATTGTTGTTTTTGAATTTGACAAGCAGTTTTCTAATATAAGGAATATATAGCTGTACTGCTTATCGGACTGGCTCAGAACTTACCAAGAGTCGGGAAGATTTGTTCTAGTTATTGTATCAATCCTAATATCATATGCCTATGTTCATCAGTTTGAGTCATATCTCACTTCGGAAAAAAGAAAAAAACTAAAGGAAATGATGTTCTTTGTTTTGTTCTCAAATTGAACTATAATGTGACAAAAATGGTCACACTTTGTTTGATGTCAGTNTTCACTGTGTGCCCTTTGCATGTTTCAAATAGATAAGAACTAAAATTTAAACGATAAAGCAAGATTGTTGTTTTTGAATTTGACAAGCAGTTTTCTAATATAAGGAATATATAGCTGTACTAACTCCACCATGGAGATCACTGATTGTGAAATCTATGCCGGTCACAAGTCCGGATAAAGGAGGAGTGTTAGACGGAAGGGGTGCAGATACCGCCGTCTGTAAAAAGAACGAGACGACAGAAACCAACCATGAACGATTTCAGAGGTAACTCATACCGGCTCGGACGGCGCCCGGGAAAACAAGGTCCGCGTTCTCTGTTGAGTGACCAGGGCAGAGTCGATAAATTGGCGACTGGAAAAAACTCATATACCAACTATACGACAAAAAACACGCAAAAACTAACTCTTGCCAAAAATTCTTTGACAGTTGGAACATGGAATGTGCAGACCCTATGGGCTGCAGGAAAATTGGAACTACTGAGAAACGAAATGAAACGTTTCAAATATGATATAATTGGTATTTCTGAAGTGCGATGGACAGGAAAAGGTGAAACACCGAACGGAGATTTCATCTGGTCAGGAGAAGAAACTGTACATATGAGGGGTGTCGGTTTCTTATTAAGTACACAAGCGAAAAAGGCATTAATAGGATATAATCCAGTAAGTTCACGAATAATTTCGGCACGATTTGACGCAACACCGTTCAAGATAACAGTCATACAGGTTTATGCACCAACTTCTGCATCAACAGAAGAAGAAATTGAAGCATTCTACAGCGATGTTGAAAAAGTAGTAACAAAGACAGATAAAAAGGATATAATCATTGTGACAGGAGATTGGAACGCAAAAATTGGCACTGGAAATGCAGATTGGAAATCAGTTATGGGTAGATATGGATATGGCGATAGAAACGAACGCGGAGAACGCCTCCTAGAATTTGCCACCGTACATGATCTCTACGTATGTAATACAAGGTTTCAACAAAAGCCTAATAGAAAATGGACCTGGGCATCACCAGACGGAATCCATAAGAACATGATTGATTTGATTCTCATACAAAGAAGATGGAAAACATCAGTCATCAACTGTCGAACTTTCCAGAGCGCAGACATAAGCTTAGACCACTCATTAGTCTTATGTAACATTAAACTGCGACTCAAGAGAATGTCGAACAAGCCACATCATTCATACAAAGTTGATGTAAACCAGTTGAAAAATGAGAATATCAGACAATCATACAGTAACACATTATTTAATAACATAAAGGATATAGGATCAGCATGTAGCCTGGAAGAGCATTCTAATAAGATAAAACAGGCTATTGAAAATGCAGTGGAGACAACGATACCGGTCAAAAGAAAGACCAAAAAACCCTGGATTTCCGAAGTGACACTAAAATTTGCTGACGAGAAACGAAAACTAAAACAGATGAAAAACGTTTCCATAGAATATACACAGCAATATAAAGACTTATGTCGGAAAGTCAAGAAATCTGCCAGACAGGATAAAGAATGCTGGATACAAAATCAATGCGAACAAGCTGAAAAAGGCCTAAACATTGGTAACACTAGACAAGCATACAGCTTACTAAAAACATAAAAAAGTGAATTTGTGCCTCGAGTCAATGTGATACGAGATCAGCAGGGCATATTGTTACAGACAAAAGATGATATCAAAGACAGATGGACACAGTATTGTAGCAGTCTGTATAAAGATCCTGGTGGTGGTGACGAGGTGGTTGAAGAACTTGAAGACATCGCCCCTCCCACAGTTGATGACATCCAGGACATCCTGTATTCTGAGGTTCAAACAGCAATACATGCATTAAAAAGAAATAAGAGTCCAGGATCAGACGGAATTCCAGCAGAGATGCTACAAGCTGGAGGAGAACCATTAGCACGTCAAATCTGTCAGCTCTGTAATAAAGCGTGGCTTGAAGGCACAATTCCTGAGGAATGGGGAAAATCTATCTTGGTACCCATACCAAAAAAAGGAGATCTCAGTAATTGTTCTAATTATCGAACGATCTCTCTTATCAACCACACAGGAAAAGTACTCCTGGTTGTACTATTAAATAGGCTAAAAGCTCATCTAGATCCATATCTTTCAGAAGAACAGGCAGGGTTTAGAAAAGACAGAAGTACAGTACATCAGATTCTGATGCTCAGATTATTGGCTGAAAAAGCAAAAAGACAGGGAAAGAAAGTCTATAACTGTTTCATTGACTTCCAAAAGGCATTCGATACGATCAAACATAAAATAATTTGGGCTACGCTAAAATCATATGGTGTTGATACAAAAACAATCACACTGCTACAGAACATCTATGAAAAGGCACAGTCAGCTGTTCGAATTGGTAACGATTATGGCGAGTGGTTTCAAACAGACGTAGGAACAAGACAAGGCGATCCTTTGTCACCACTCCTCTTCATCGCATATCTAGAAAGGGTAATGGACCAGGTGAGACAGAACACCTGCGGAGTTAATGTCAGCGGAATACTCATAAATAACCTGAGGTTCGCAGACGATATTGACCTTATCGATGAAGATCTTAGCTCACTTCAACGCCAAATAGAGCTAACAAAGACGACAGCCGAACAATCTGGACTGATGCTAAATATAAAGAAAACTAAAACCATGGTTTTCGGAGACAGGAACATTGAAAACAAGATGCAGGTAGCAGGTGACACCATAGAAAATGTAGAGAAATTCGAATACCTCGGCAGCTTAATCACTTGGGATAATAACTGTTCAGAGGAAATTAAAAGGCGAATAGGAAAAGCGACAGGCGCACTAGCTTCTTTAAAGCATATTTGGAAGAGCAAAAAACTGAAGATAGAGAACAAACTAAAGATCCTAAACACTTGTGTCTTCAGTGTCCTACTATACGCTTCAGAGACATGGACCTTGAAAGAAGCAGACAGGAAAAAGCTATTGGTATTTGAAATGAAATGTTACCGACGGATTCTAAGAATAAATTGGCGAGACATGATACGAAACGAAGATATCCGGAGAAGGATATCAAGGGAGGAGACGATAATCGACACCATCAAAAAGAGGAAATTGCGGTTGTTCGGTCATATCTGCAGAATGGACGACAGTAGATTGATAAAACATCTACTATTTGGAAAAATCGATGGAAAATCTCGAAGAGGGCGTCCATGCAGAGAATGGCTGGATGACATAACTGAGTGGTGTCAACACAGTGGACAGGAACTGTTCCACCTAGCGCAAGATCGGCAGGCGTGGAAAAATCTGATCCCATAAAATGGTTGGCCCCAACGGGCGCTAAGCCTAAGGGACATGATGATGATGATGATGATGATAGCTGTACTGCTTATCGGACTGGCTCAGAACTTACCAAGAGTCGGGAAGATTTGTTCTAGTTATTGTATCAATCCTAATATCATATGCCTATGTTCATCAGTTTGAGTCATATCTCACTTCGGAAAAAAGAAAAAAACTAAAGGAAATGATGTTCTTTGTTTTGTTCTCAAATTGAACTATAATGTGACAAAAATGGTCACACTTTGTTTGATGTCAGTGGTTTTAATACGAGATGAAATGTTCGATACATAATATCGTATTCAGACGCTTGCTTATCTCGTTTAGAAAAGATGCTTTAGATACTAGAATACGTTTTGTAAACAATTACAAATCATATTCATTAGATTGGATTTCGGTGTACTAAATTTCATATCGAAGGAGAAGATGTTATCATAAATTAACTATCTTTACGATGTGGGATGGGGTGAGTATTTTAAAGGTACTCAGAGCACATGGGTACGATAGTTGTCCGGGAGACGTCTTGTCGATGTGGTTGAATGTGATGCATATTCTGAAGATATTCTGTGGATAGGTGGGAAGGGGTACCTCATGATTCGTAAAGTTCGTGAATTTGGCGGACACCTTGAAGATCTTCTGCCAATGCGGCTGACACGGATACCTTCCAGTACCCTAAGCTGACTAATGAAGTAGATACTCCACAGAGATCCTTCTGATGCGATTGAGTCTTACATCTAGGGGTGTCACTTTGGCATTCCATTCTAAAGAATGCGAACGCAGCCCGCGATCCCATTCATGGAACGGAAACGCCACGAAAAACGTATTGCTGACTGTTTATCAGTTCATAAAGGAATGAAATCTCTGTGGCGCCCCCAATCCCAAAACGAGAACGGGGTATAGCGTTCCCGTTCCCGAATGGGGGACGAACAACGTCTTTTACTTAGTACTGTGTATAATCGAAAGTCAAAAGTATAGCTACGCGTAAAAAATGCTGTAGGACGAATGATAAAATCCGTTCCATTCCCAGAAATGGAACTCTAGGGAACGGGAAACGCTAACACCCCTACTTACATTCTCACAGTGGTCGGTGTACGAATGATAGATACCTGTTAAATACTTGAGAATATGAGTGAACAGAATGCCTTCGAAGTTTACTTGGTTTGTAACGGTTCTATACATTTTATTCCCTTTTCAATATATACCTCTATCGCTTGATACTTCTTTCTTATACCTTAATACCTCATATTTGTACCTCATTGGTGTACAAAGATATAAACATCTGTAGTTTTTCACAAATTCAAATACTCCACCGATTCATTCCTAGGGATCGAAACTCTGA